CGATTTATTTATAACAAATTTATTTTTAAAATAATTGAATATCTTACATATTTCTCCCATTTTTAAGTCATTTTATTTTCCAGTACTTTAAATAAATCTAAACACAAAAATATTCGCTTTTTCTGGAAAAATTGAATTGAATGGTTGTAAAATTTTCTAGAAATCCATGATATATAAAAAAAAAAAAACTTCTCAAGTAATTTTATTTACCAGTACTTTTAATAAGAYTGCACGTAAGTATGTTCCTGTATTTAAGAGAAAATGAAATTGAACGATTTTAAATACCTATATAATATAATATATATTTTAAATCCATTCAATTTCATTTGACTATCATTTTATCGTTAAATAATAATTCAATTCAGTATGCACTTACTTTTTGTTTCCAGTTAAAATTATTTCAAATTGTCGTTTTATACATAATTGACTCTTGAAAAAACGTAATTTTTTTTTAAATAATACGATCTCAATTCATCCATAAATTTCTATACAATAAACATTATTCAACAATTTTTAATCAACATATTATATTAAATTATACAATTTATTGTTCTGCCACTTTTTTAATGAACTTCATTAATAATCTTACTTCATTTCCATGGATATCAGATTGTCAAAAAGAATAAAATAAATAATAACAGACAACAGACAACAGACATAAATTAAGACTCTAAGGTAAGAAAATAAGGTAAATTAATAAAGAATGTTGCTATGGTAACATTTTTGAAAATAAATATTATATTATAATTTACAATATTCAATATAAATGAATAAACTTTGAATTGACGGAACGAATGCAAACTTTTTTATTTTTACAATAATAATCAATGCAGAGTCCATGACTTGCAGTATGATAAAAATGTAAGATTTTATTTCGGCCAATCAAACTTAGTTAATTTTAACTTTATACCACAATTAAACCCAAAATATTAGTGGAAAATAGAAATAATATCAATTTCTAGGTATGTGCTATTACASAATATTATAATTTATAATACAGACTCAGAATCGGACATACGTGGCTTACACACAGCYTTCTCATGAGACACGACGATCCTGCCCAATGTACAACCTGCGGAGAAGCTCTAACTATCAAACACGTCCTTCTACACTGCCGAAATTTTACAGATACCAGAACCTCCTTAAACATTCCAGAACAC